TTTTCTTTTGTTTTTTTTCTCTCTTTCTTGGTGTGCTCCTTTTCTTCTCTTTCTCCCCCTTCTCTCTTTTTTTTTCTTTTTCTCTCTCTTTATTTTTCAAATACGCCCAACTGCATGGGGATATAGATACATTAGCTAACTTCAATCATCTCCTTTCAACCCGATTCGAAATCATCATGCACTGAAATCAAGGCATTCCTTTGACACAGGATAGAAACAAAGAGGGTTGAACACAAGAGGTTTAGGGGTGACAAAATGAGTTTTCAAACAAAGAAAAGGTTTAGGCTCAACCATGGTCAACTAGGAGAGATCTGATTAGGGTTGGTCTTTTAGAAAGCCAAAAAAAAGGGGTTAACCTAAATGCTCTTGTCATTTTAATACATCAAACTTAGGAATATGATCTTGACATGTATAACAAAGCAAGTTTTAGAACAATCAAATCATGTGTGATATCACTCAATAAAAGAAAATAGAGCAGTTATCAATGCAACGCTCATTGGCTCAACAGCTCACAATAGGATATTAATTGCCAAGTCTTGCAAACTTCATCATTCAATTCCATTATTAAGAATATACGACATTTAATCACATAATATCACTGCTCATATTTGTAGAATAACTGCAATCATCATCATAGCATTAAATTTTAGCAATTTTCAACTACTCCTCCCACGTACCAGAAATCTACATTGTCTTCAATAGAGCAAAGAAAAACAGTAAACAAAAAGAAAGGAGTAGGAGCTTCCCTGAAAGCCAAACGAGTGCACGAAAGCACTATAGGGGAGGAGGATGAGGTGGCGGATCGTCGTGGGTTATATAGCGTCACGCAGTAGCGGCGGCGGTCCGTGGTTGAGAGGCGTTACCACACTTAAGAAGCGTAAGTCGGCTGCCCATTCTTTGTAATAGCACCCATGAAATTTTCTGTGAAGCGTGGGCACGCCTTGGAACCCATAGTTTTCTGTTCATCAAATTCTAATCCCAATAAAACATCACAGAACACACCCAGAACCTACAATAAAGATTTTCTGTCAATAGGAATCCAAAACAACCTGATCTTGAACACAAAAATATAAAATAAAAACATAAAAATGACTAAAAATTGAAACTCTTGGGTTACCTCCCAAGTAACGCCTTTCTTTAACGTTTTTTGCTAGACAATGCCCTGTTTATTCACAGAGGATAAAATCTTGTAACTCGTTTCAATATTTCATCCTCTGTATAGTCCTGATAACCCTCGTAAAGAGAGTAATCATTGAGCACACGAGGTACGGTCTTCCATGGATTTGTAATTGGTGCCAAACAAACAAGTAATGACTTTAAGTCTTCACTCACTCCTACATCACGAGCACTTGTTGGTTCGACATATTTTGTTATCGTGACTCTTAACTTATTCTTGTTATGAAATTCAAAATTTTCTAATATAATAAAGTCAATCTCACTAACAGAAATTAAAGAATAAGAGTCAGGAAAATATTGATTAATGAATGGAGGAGACGTCACCGTATTTAGAGATTGTTCACTAGATTTATTCACTTGGACAATTTGATATTGGAGTTCCATTTCTTGTACCTCAATTTCCTTTTCAACTGCATATTTAGATTTTTTTTCTTGAGACTCTTGCAGTTCCATGTCATTTGTCAGGATAATTGTACTTTCATCTTCTTTAAGGTTGTTGATGGTTTGTGAGGACAATTCTTCATACATTGGAGAAATCAATTTACTCATTATAGATGCCAATTCACGCCTTCCATCTTGCATCTCTTTAATCATCTTTTGTGTCTCCTGTTGAAATTGATATGTGTTAGTAGCTATTAATTTAATCATTTCTTCAAAAGACATACCTGACGTGGATGATTGCTGTTGCTGTTGATATTGATGTTGAAAATCGATTGGCTCTGACTTATAATTAAAGTTGGAGTTGTCCCACCATCCTTGATCATACCCGTTTTGATTAAAGGTCATACCACACTTGATATTGAGGTGAAAAATCTCCAAAAGTGTCGATTGGAATACTCAGGTCATCTTGAAATGTGGGGTATATGTCGGTTGAATGATCTGAGGCAAAATAACTTCGACAATTTGCAACAGCCAATTGATCATTAGAAAAAGCATGAATCTTATAACCCCTTCTAGAAATAAAATCCAGTCCATCACCAAAATACAGAAGATTAGCAGTCATAACTAGTAAAAAGGGTGGAACGAACTAAACAAAACAAGCCTATGCAATAAATCACTTCAAACACCAGTTCCCCGGCAATGGCGCCAAAATTTGGTGGGTGTCAAACTATCAAAAATAAAATTTATATTAGACTTATTACCAAAACTGAATGAGTATAGCGGTGAGTAAGGTCGTCTCCTCAGGGAACTGGTAGACTTATCACACACAGACAATTGGAGAATTTTTGGAAGAGAGATAAAAGAAACAAATTAAAGATGTAAGGTCACTAACTAAACAATTGCAAGAAGTGCAATAACTAAAGAATGTAATAAACACTTAATTGACACATCCTAGTCAAGGAGATAATCTCGGCACCGGTTCACGCAATTGATCATAGATACCTGAATTAATCCACACGTTCGCAAATAAATTGGTTCTAGCAATTTTGCAACCACCAAACTCCCAATCTCTCCTTAATTTTACGGTAGTGCAGAGACGCTCTTAAACTACCCCCTTGTAAATTAGATAACCTCAGAGACGTTCGAAAGATTTAATCTAATCACAGCTTTAGAAATTAGAGAGACCCAATTCTAGTTAACAAACACACATGCGGGTTCATTTAACCTAGATCAACTATTCCCACGTCCCATATTAGACTGCTTGCGAGGCAATGAAATTGTGCTGTTCGTCACTAATTTAAGACAATCAAGTGATACGCACCCTTGTCCTAATTGACAGTATACTATTCAGACAATTGAACAACTGGCCACATTGATCCAATAAATCCAAACAGTAATAGACTATTAAATCAGAGAATAATTAAATATTCACAAACGCCGAATTTAGAATAATAAAAAAGATCTCACAATTGTTTGTGCACCGGGCCTTGATTATTCCTCAACTAGATAAACGAACTTGCCGCATAATCACGGAGCAATTGAAGGCTTTCATGGAGTTTCGCTGATTGAAGAAAAGTAAAGAGCGGCACAACCGCTAGTCTCCAACTCACGTATAAGAAAGGAAAAAAAGATCAAAGATCCCAGACCCTAGTCTATTGCTGTCCTATTTAAAATCTCGCCGCCGCCTCTTTCTTTGCCAATCGAGAGTTTGTTTCCATAAAGGATAGCTTCCTTATTTTCTTCCTTGAGTTGTTGCCAAAGGTATTCTTTGAAGATATTTCCTAATCCCACATATCTTCAAGCACATCTCCCAAGAATTGCGGCAGCTTACAGGGACAGGTCTCACGGTTCTTCTTTTTCACGCAACTCTGCGGTGTCTGGAGTGGGTACGCTCTGGAATGACTAGTCTTCTGAAATTTTGTCTCTTTTTGTCACTTTTAACACCGGTTGCCTGCAAATTATACAAATACCAAATATGAGCAGAAACCCATTACTCTAAACAATAAATGGCCAAAATCAAGACCAAATATCAATGAATAAAGCGCACAATTATCTCTCTATCAATGTGCCACTTTTTCATAAAAAATTGTGTGTTCGAATTTCGCTGTCGATAAAAGAACTATGTTGGTGGACAATTTGTATGAATCTCTATGAATCCTACTATCGATAAGAGAGCTATTTTGGTAGATCATCCGTAAGAATATCTACGAGACACTTATAGTTCTGAAGACATGCCCTACTCTATGGTGATGACAGGAATTGAAGTCACCCAAACTTTTTTTTACCAAGAAAAAAAGTCATATATTTTCTTTATAAAAAAATGAATCATATATTTTCTTTAATTTTTTGAACCTTTTACAAAAAATTGCAACTGTGATTGTTCCTACCCATAGCTCAAATCAATTATTACTAGAGGCATGTTCTGACCCATTATTGTGACTTGAAGCAAACCCACCCAAACTTTTTTCTTAAAAAAGGGATAATATCAAAAACCTTCGTTGAGATTTTTTCTAATATCACTTAGCACCCCTAAGATTTTGAAATATTACTTACCTCCCCTTGTAATTATAAAATGACTATACTACCCCTCACTTGATAGATAATTCACATATCAAATAAATAAAGTCCAAAAAATTAAAAAAAAGAAATAAAAGTTACTTTTTTCTCTTTCCCTTTTCTCCAACATCCTCTCTTATTCATTTTTAATTTTTTATTTGTAAATAATAGTAAATCAATTTTTTTTATTTTCCTTTTTGTGATTGTGATAGAATGAAATATGATTTCTTTGTTTATTTTGAGTTGATTTTTACAATAATTAGTACAACTTGAAGACTTGGACCATGATTTGAAAAGAAATTGAAAAAAAATAAGGTTTATAAGAAATCAGTTTTGAGCATATAGAATTAAATTAATGCTAATGTATTTCTTTACAAATATCTTTTTTATTTTTCAAATTTATATTTTTATGAATTATAGTCTGGTGATGTGGTGATACTACTAGAACTTGTTTTTTAGTTAGTGGTTTTTTTTTCCTTTTTGGAGCAAATAAAGTGACTTATGAGTATTTTTATTTAGTAAAATATGCAAAAGGGTAATTTAGAGTTTTTGAAAATATTATTGTTACACAAATAACAAAAATAAGGAAGGTAAATAATATTTTTAAAACTTTAGAATACTTAGGTCATCCCATGACTCGAGTCAACCTTTCACAAAAAGTTGAAGCAGCAACTGTTCCAGCCCATAACCCGAGTCAATTGTCACTGGATTTGGTAATGTCCTTGTCGGGTCAGCTCTAGGGGACAAGAATGTTAGGATTTCTGTAATCCGTACTATTTTTTTTTTCAATATATTAAACTCAGCCCAATTAATAACTCAGATTCCTATTTAAAATTTTAAAATTGACGTGGCTATGAAGTCTTGCCAAAACTGGTGGGCTTCAACGGTATCCTTTTCCTCGTCCTCGAGTCAAAGAAAGCTCCTACAACAGCAGCTACAACAGCTGCTGCTGTACTACTTGTTTGTTTACCATTCTTCAGTGAGAAATCTTGTGTGGGTCTTTCTTGAGGATTCATTTGGAATCAATGGCTTGGAATTTTGATCGCTTGACGGAGTTACTGGACAATTTGCGCAAGAAAAATCCCACTCATAGCAACATCACCGTGCTGAGAAATGATTGGAGGTTTCTTAGGACGCTGTGGGAATGCATTTGCCACCAGCAGCAGCCGAATAACTGGGCAACCCTCGCCCTCAAAGTCGAAATCGAAGCTGCAGCCCAGAACATTGCCGAGGATATCGCCGAGAAGCACGACCGATCGGAGCTGGTCGTGTCGATATTGGTCCGTGACTGCCAGAGGAAAACCAAGGATTTCATGGCCCAAATCAGCAGATATGTGTGCCGGTTTTCAAAGTCATTCCAGGTGAAATCTCTTTCTCTTTTCAGTGATGATTCGTTTTGGACAAGATTTGTTGATGCTGTGAGAGCGAATCTTTGGTCGATCAAGTCCACCACCCATATTTATGAGAATGCCCGTTATCGTAGTGAAGTTGACCAAAAATTGGGTGCTTTGTACAAAGATCTAGATTCGCTTCAAGATTACATACTTGCAGTTGTCAGGCGTGAATATCGAACAAATGGTATTCATGATTTTCTAGTTCATGTTGCATCTGTGATTTGTCGCATTGCAATTCAGTCTTGTGATTACTGGATTAATTATAGAGCAGGCAAATATTCAGCAGTATATGAGCTTAATAAGCTTGTGGAAGAGGAGGAGGGTGGGGTGCTGTATGAGATTGATCCTACTAATCCCAAGTTCATGGAGTTTCATACTAAAACCCTGATAGTTCTATATAAAATCCACCCTGGACCAATAGGAGGCAATTTTTGCAACTATCTGCTTGGTGGCAGCCGTAGTCGACAGAAGAATCTTGAAGCCGAGATCAAGGTACTGATTTTCCTTTTGTTCCACAATGGACTAGAGGACGAGAAGGAGGAGGAAGAGGACGATGGGGAGTCTTGCGAGGATGTACGAAGTTTTTTGGCAGAAATCAATGCATTGCTTGTGGAGGCTGCTTGCCTTTGTGAGGCGGTACGCAGAGGAACTGAACTTAGTTGTCCTCCGTGTTCTGAGTTACTAACAAAAATTTCTATTCTCAAGGCAGAACATTTCCTCAAGAAGCTACTTCGCGACACCACTGACATTGCATTGTCATTTCTTTTCAAAAGTCACCGTATTGGCGAGCTAAAGGATATCCTTGAAAAGATGAGAAGATTTTCAGAAGATCTACCTGATGAGAAGAAAGAATATGGGAAACGAAGGTTGGCAATCATTGAAGGAGTTGCTGAGGAGGTAGCATCTCTTTGTCAGGCATTTGAGGCCAAGAAGATCTCGGAATCTACAGTAAAGAACTCACTTCTGCGATTGCTTCTTAATATGGTTATTTCCAAGGCAGAGTCCTTTTTAATGGAATTATTATCCAAGAAGAGTGCAGCAAATTTCGTGGACTGTACAGAAGATCGTATTCAGTTGCTTCTTCAGCAGCTTAACTTTTTTACTCTAATTGTGACAAATGACCTAGTAAAGGGAAGAAAAGATGGGAACATGATCTTAGCAGACATTGAAGCATTTGCAAGGTGGCTGACATGTTTTGCTTCCTTGGTTATGGTCAAGAAGAAACCGATCCTTTCCTTTTATGAGCTATTAGAAAAGGTAAAACTTGTCAAGGAAGAGCTTAAGGAGATTGGTCCTCAATTTCCGTTGTCTGCTTTCCCCCAGACCTACAAACTTGGGTTCATTGATTTTCTATCCAACAACCTCAGGGAGCTGCTAAAATATGATTCCCAGGCAGTTGCACAGGTGAAGCAACACATTGAAGAGATTCAACTCCATCTTAAGTCATTGAGTTCTTTCTTGACAAGAATTTCAGATTCAGATATTGATGAGCATCCAGAACTGAAAGATCTTGGTGATCATGCTACAAATGTAGCATATAAATTGGAATATGTTATTGACTCGATTGAGCTTGATCCTGATTGGAAACATTGCTTTTGGTTTTATTATCTGTTAGATGAAGTAAGAGTCCTTGATAAGCAGGCCTCACAAGGTCATGAGATAATAAGTGATGCCAAAGTCCAAAATGCCACCCAGGTTTCAGCAATCAATGAATTGGTGGTGGATCTCAGTGATGAGGAAGCTTTCATTGTGGATCGACTCACCGGAGGATCCTCACAGCTAGGTGTTGTTTCTATTGTTGGAATTTCTGGCGTTGGCAAGACAACTATGGCTAGAAAATTGTTCAACAATCAAAATGTTATTTATCACTTCCACCATCGTGCATGGTGTACTGTTTCACAAGTATATGACACAAGAGAATTGCTGCTTGAGATTTTAAGTGGCATTCATGGGCTTACTAACGAGGTTCATCAATTGAGTAAGGAAGAGCTGAAGTCAAAATTGCGTCAGTGCTTGATGAAAAATAAGTATCTCATAGTCATGGACAATGTGTGGAATGTTGAAGCTTGGAGTGAGTTGAAAAATTCATTCCCAGACAGCATCAATGGAAGTAGAATTTTGATAATGAGTTGTCGAAGTGATGTGGCCTTGCAAATTGAACCAGATTGTGATCCTCATTTTCTACGCCCATTTTCTGATTATGAAAGTTGGAAGTTGTTAGAGGAGAAGATATTCCAAGGTGAAGGTTGTCCAGAGGAATTGTTGCTAGTTGGAGAACAAATTGCTCAACAATGTAAAGGATTACCACTTTCAGTTGTTGTAGTAGCTGGTCTCCTTGAGAGGACAGAAAAGAGAAAAGAATGCTGGGAAAAAGTTGCAGAGAGCTTGAGTTTGGATAAAATGGAAGATCTAGAAGCTCGGTGCATGAAAATCTTAGAACTGAGCTACAGATACTTACCGGGATATCTAAAAGCATGCTTTCTCTATTTGGCAGTTTTTATTGAAGACAGAGATATTCCGGTTGACAAGTTGATAAAGTTTTGGCTTGCTGAAGGGCTTGTACAAGGAACCCGGTCAAACAACTTAGAAGATGTTGCGCAGGATTACTTGAAGGATTTGATTAGTAGGAGCTTGATGACAATCTCCAAAAGAAAGTCTAACGGAGATGTCAAAGCTTGTCGCCTTCACGATCGATTACATGATCTGTGTCTGTCGAAAGCCAAAGAAGAGAACTTTTTACAGTTAGTTACAACATATGATGAACCATATGCTTCTTTTCCTGATTCAATTTATGGCTTTGACTTGTATTTTGACCATCAGTTACAGCCTGTAACATATGAGGCCTATCGTTTGAGCATTTTTTTGAAGCGAAATCATTTTGTTGAATCAAGACCTTCTGGCCTGGGCACCCGTTCTTTGATATTCTTTGCTTCTGCTGATTCAGAGCCAAGATGCCCTCATGACATCTCATTCATTTGCTACAATTTTAAATTTCTCCGGGTGTTAGATCTTGAATGCATCAACATGGGCATTTCATTCCCTTTTGAAATAGGACTACTGGTTGGACTGAGATATTTAGCAGTTAGTGGGTATGTGCGCTCTATTCCAGAGTCAATAGCCAACCTCCGAAACCTAGAAACTTTGGTTGTGAAGGGATTACGAGGTAAGGTTGTGTTACCTGTTACTATTTGGCACATGAAAAGGCTAAGGCATCTCCATGTCAATAAACATGTTGCTTTCAACTGGGATGATGAACTGCTTGGAGGTCACTTTCAGTTAGAGAATCTGGTTAGCTTTTCCTGCCCGTCTCTTTCTTGTGGTGAAGATGCTGAAAAGATATTAAAAAGATTCCCAAATCTTTGCACACTGAGATGCATGTTATTTGAATCACGGGATTCTTCTAAGATTTGCAATCAGCTTCCAAGATTTAATTTTCTAACTCATTTGGAGTCACTGAATATATTTTACTATGGACGGGCTCTTGATGCCAGCAAATTCATTCTCCCATTTAAATTAAAGAATTTAACTCTTTCAAACTTTCACCTACCATGGAGTTACACTTCTGTAATTGGGAGACTACCACACCTCCAGGTTCTTAAATTGCTTTCTGGCGCCTTTGAGGGGCAAATATGGCACTTGGGGGAGCAAGAGTTCCGGGAACTTGTATTCTTGAAGTTAGATACTCTAAATATTGTCCAATGGAGTGCCTTTTCTTATCACTTCCCTAAGCTTCAACGTCTAGTAATACAGAATTGCAAAGACCTTTTGAAAGTGCCATATGATTTTGTGCACATACCTAAACTGCAGAGGATTGAAGTGCTGTGGAGCGGACAATGTACAGAAGAGTCAGCAAAAAAAATTGGGGAAGCAACAGGGAAGATCAAAGTCGTAATCAATTCTTTATAATTGAGATCATCAGCATGATTGTGTATGGACATTGTTGCTTTCTTTCATTCAAGTGTAAGTAGTACTTATCTTCTTAACTTTGTTGTGCAATGATATTCCTATTAAATACATCTAATTGAGGATGTATGACAATCTGAAAAGTATAAGAACTTCGAATTACTATGCTGTAGTTTGGGAAAAGCTATTCAATCTGGGTTGTCATTTCTTCATTTGAAGTGTTCTGAGAGCTTTAAATGAATGTTCAATTGTTTCTTACTGAAGTTAAGTCCTTAGTCAGCTTAGTATGTTTTCTGACTTGATTTGGTTGGTTTCTCCATTTTTTCTAATTAATAAATCTGTACTTTTTTCAAAATATCAAGTTCAAAAAGTATGTCTCTCAAGGAAATTTGATGCTGTAAACATTTTGTTTGTAATGCAAAGTACAGAAAGCAGAATTAGGGGTTCGTGAATGTTTATCTCCACTTCTTTGTGGTTGTATATTTTTAATGTAACATCTTTCATATATGCTGACTGAAAACTTATTTGCTTGCATTTCTTTGACACGTGCCTTAAATACTTGTGCCTGTGATCAATTTTGTTGGTGGTTTAGCCAATTAACAGTTGAAAATATGTAATGCATGTCTACATCTTATTGCAGGGTAATTCTATTCAAGATGCCCTCAGTTTGGTGGAACTCATGTAGTCAGTTTTATATTATGAGATTGATTTCTTAATTTTTGGCCAGGGGGAATGGTCTTCTGTCACTCCAAACCTCTCCTTCAAAGAAACTTGATGTCCATTCTAAGTCACATGTCCTATTTCTGAGAACAAATTTTGCTCCGAAGAATACACGCTAGTCAAGAAAGCTACGTTGGGCTACCCCAGTGAGAGTATTACAAAAATAAGCAGCTTGTTCATGATGATAATGCTCTGATGGCTATTGAGTTAGTGAAAAATGTGTGTAGATGAATATTGAAAAGAAATCGGGAAGAGGCTCCAAATACTGACATAATCTTCTTCATTGATGGCAACATAATCTGTGGTCATACATGAATGCCAGGTAGATGTCCAGTAATATTGCAAAGTCCAGATATTCCTTTTAAATCTCATTCATGGAAAATTTCACTGGTTTACTTAGTTTTACCTGAGGATGTATGATATGCGGAAAGATATTAAGAACTTCAGACTACTGGATTATAAATTCAGAGATATGGTTAACAATTTGTTCAGTCCAAGAATTTGGGACCTTTATATTAGTGTTTAATTATTCTTTTCTTCCAGCATTACACATGGCTATTACTTTCTGCACTCTTTTAAGTGAAGCATGTGATTCTAGAGATGCATTCTTGTCACTGTCAGAAATGCAGTATCAGTCAGTAGGATATCTAATGCACCTTTTTCTTTTTTTGGAAGATGAAGAACTAGTGACAATATTGGATAAATTCTCATGACAAAATGTTATGTTAATCTCTTTGTACTTTTTGTTATGTGTTCACTTTCTGCTTATGATATTTAATTGACATTATGTATCTAATTGACATTATGTATCTAATTTTTGGTATTGTTTTGTTGTTCAAGACCGGGGATTTGAAATTCATTGTGGACAGACTTTGCAGTGATTTCCTTTGTGGCTGCTTGTTAAGTTTCTAATACAAGGTTCTCTACTGTTTGTAATCGACATTAAGGTTTTAGGTATTTCAGTACCATTTCTTACTGCTTTCAAGAAAACCTAAATTGTTTTCTTATATGAATTGTTGATGAACCTTCTCCTTCTAATATGCAGATCTCTCTCAGGATAATCTGATAGTTTAAAATTTTTGTTTTTTAACTGAAGAGCCATCATTTGCTTTGATATCTTTAAAGCATGCCTTGGATATGGCTGCTCATTTGATTGGAATTTCCTGAGTTCATTGTTTGAAAGTATAAAACCAAGTTTACATCTTGTTGCAGTAGGTCCTGCTTTTGGTGCTCTCACATCATCAGTTTTGTTTGGGATATTGGTGGACAATTGGCCTGCCAAAAATGGTGATCTTTTGATGGAACTCAGTACTTCTTGTTATTTGGATAAGACTTCTAAAACTGATTCTGTTGCTGACTACAGTTACTGTACCATAATATGCAGCTAAGAAAGATGAAACTGCTTCAACAACAAATTTAAGCTGCTAATATTGATAATCCTCTGAAGAATATCAAGATAGCATGAATCTGGCTTTGTCCATAATGGAGACAGGTGAGGGGATGCGCTTCAATGCAGAAGTAGTCTTCCCAATTGGTAATCAGCTAGTGTCCTCCAAAAGACAGGAGAGAAGCAATGCTGAATGTGGGTGTGTAGAACATGCTATTTTTGTGGAGAATCATTTCCAACCGTCAAACCAGCTTGAAGTCAATTCCGATATTCATGTTAACCTGGAAGTTTTGGTGTTTTTCTTCATTTTCTTCCTTGTTATTCTAATGGAAATTTTGCTAGAACCTAAACGTTTGATGTTAATACGAGGCTCCCTAATCAATTTCCAGAAGTCAGGAGATTATTCTGAGCTTCTCAATTTCTATACTCCTTTTTGAACTGGTTTACCCAAAAGTGTAAGAATGATTTAAAGCTCTACCACATGGGTAGATGAAACTCAGAATTCCACTCTACAAACACAACATGCACATTGAGGTCAATCATGATCCCCACCTTGATGGTGCACACTTTTCTTTGAGGTGTAAAAGATATGTATCTTGAACTTCTACTGAGCATATCATAATTATATGTAGCAACCGGTTCTACTTTTACTGCTAAGTTTTTCTTCTTCTTGCTCCTCTTTGCTTTTTTCGGTCATTTCATGGCGGAATGTTGAGCATTATTGCTTTTATCTCTTCTCTTAGGTAGTTCGTTTGTCACTGGAATTACATTGTTGCTTCCATTCAGTCATGGCAGGTGCCGTTTGGCCCTTTTCGTCTTCTTGAGGGCCTTTTCAGGCATATACGCATTTACTGCTTCTTTACTTGCTTTTTCCCTTAGTCTATTCTGCTGCCCTTTTTATGTTCATGATGAGAACTTGGTCGTTTTGAAGGAAGTAGCAGTTCTGTTGGTTACTTTGGTTTCGTAGATCTGCTGCCACAATATCCTTTGAGATGGATTTTTCCTGTTGTGTGTCTTACTTTTGTGGGGTTTATTTTATGATATTGCCCTGTTTCTGCATGTCACTTAGGATTAGCGGTTAGATTTGCCTTCTTTATGTGAAGTACAAGAATGCTCTTCAGACAAAGCATTTGCATTAGGTTTTTCTAACTCACACCGTTAAACTTGCTTCTTTCTTTCCTTTCCCCCCCCCCCCCTTTTTTCTTATACCATGCATTGTATAACTTTGTTCTTAATCCATAACATAGTTCTCTACCCCTTTATGTTAATCTAATACTTCTGATGCATTATACGAATACTTGTAGTTTTTGGCACTACATTTTCCATCAATCAGTAGTTTGGTAATTTTCAGTACCATGTACATAAAAATACTTTTATAAAGGTATCAAACTCTACTCCACTCCTCGTTTGGGGTTGCAGTGACTTATAAAGAAGTACTTCTAACATAAATGCTTTTGAGTTATCAAAAATTGAATTATTTAAGTTACGGGAAATTAGTTACCAACACTCTAGAAATACTTTCAGTGTTCAAAAGCGTTTTTGTTTTTGTAAATGCACTGCAATCCCAAATGGGAGAATTAATTTGGATTACGTGGAAGTTCAAAAAGCAATAGTAGCCCAGTGTTCTGGTCATAAACCAACGTCCATAGGCTGTAATTCGGGTGAGCAAAACCAGCTAAAAACCATTTTGCTTCTAATTACAGCAAGGGATATGTGGGATTTAACCTACTCAGTACAATTACAGTTCGGCCCTCACAAGCGATTCAACAAATTTAAAAATGTTCCATTGCGACAAGCACTAGATTAGTAAAATAATTACTCATTTTTTACAATATTTTACAATATTTCTGTAAACAATTCTAGCTATGCAACATGAGCATGTGCTTGTCAATTTGTCATTACTGGATAAAGTATCACAGAATCTCAACTTTTTCTCAGAGTTTTTGCTCTGTCAAAACTAAGAAGACATGGGATGCATCAAGATATAGGTTGGCATAGCAGTTGTATAAATTTTATTCATTTTGATTTGGTATTTCATTAAAATGTTGGTAGCTGTGATGTATTTGTACACATTATGAAACTAAAATGTACTTACAAAAACAGCAATATGTGGCCAGGTGAGGTCTTGTAGTAGTGATGGGGATTTAGAAATGGGGAAATGAGTAAAAATAATTTGGTCAAGGATGGATGGCTGATTTATTAAGTGCAGAAATGCAAAGTCACCAAATAATTTGGACAGGTACTATGGATGACTGATTTATCCAGTTATTTAAGTGAAAAGTCGAACGGTTAATACAAGTTGGTTCAATGGATAAGAATAAATAACTTCTTTATAAAGAATCATGTGTTCGAATTTCATTTTTATCCTTGATGCAAGGATTCGAGTTCTTAAATTCCAATCTCATTCTTGTCGCTGATTATGATTATGTTGAGGATGTGTATTCGTCGAAGCGAATCTATCCAAATTTTTTTTTATTAAAACAAAAAGCTCTAACTTTCTCAGCAAAATTTAAAAAAAAAGAAAAAAAGAAAAAAAAAGAAAGAGTACCCCTATTAGTGGCAGTTCGATACCTAGGAAGTTCGCAGTTGATAGGGTGTTAATTGTTAGTAATTTTATTGTTAATTTTCCCTTGTCCCTACCAAATATTGTTTTAAATTGTTAATATATACTTATATTTGGTATTTGGACCTATCTACAGGAAGTTGAACTGACAAATGCTAATAAGGAGATTTTACTGAGAAAAATTCTCCACACATTAGAGCCTCCAGCGGATTTACAAGTTGGGCCCACATGGTTTTGCAAGAGAACAAAAAATTTCGGTTGCTGATGGGAGTCTTTGATGAGCAATAGAAAACAAAAGGAGAGAATTCGGCAGAGCTACTTTTGTAACTTGGGACTCTTGTTTTCGGTGGGGACCACGAGAGGAGAAAAGGCTTTTCTTCATTTGGCCTTTAAGAGAAGTAACGTACAGAGATGGGAAACAAGAAGCAATTCGGCAGGACCCACCTTGTGGACTTGGTTTCTCTCAATTCGGCAGAGTTCCCTTCTGGGACTTTGACTCTAAATTTCAGCGGGGACCACGGAGAGAAAGCATTAGGGATTAGTCATTTTGGCTTTAAAAAGGAAGAAACGTACAGGCGGCTAGGTATAATAGTTTTAGCTTAGTTTTTAGGATAGTTTTAGTTTTTTCGTTTCTTTCTTGGCTCTTTTGATGGCCTGGACCTCAGTGGAATTACTTGAAGATTTTCTCATGAGGTGTGGCTAAGTTTGTCTAGTCAAGAACAACGGAGGATTTGGTTCTACTAAATTTGTGAGATCGAATTAGTTTTTATTTATTCTCATTATTCACTGGTATTTGTCTGTCTTCTGCTTTATGTTCATATGGTTGTTTTATTATTCGATTATCCAGGGCCCGGATTCTAGATTAATTCAATAACCTGAAGCCAATTAGGGTAGTTAAATCCGTAATTGTTTAATTATTCTAAACTGGTGGCAACTGGCATGATTGGGTTTGTGTCAGGGAGATAGGCAGGCTAACTTAAAGAGACCCTCATAGCGTGTTGATTGGTTAGAATTAGGCTCTTCTAATTATTCATGCAATTAGGGAATTGAACTTCTATGGTCGTACCTAGGGTTATTTCCTGATTAGAGAAATAGTCAACGGTCGTACCTTGGCTATCGACAAGTTGAGGAAGAGTTGGTTGTTTATCGCGTGTATGACAACTATAACTAATTTATCAGATAGTAACTGGAATAATCCTTGCATCTGTGATCAAATTAAGTGAACCATCTCCGAAGTTGTCTCTTGGCTAGAGTTCGTCCTTTATTATTTTTATTGTGATAATTAGTTATTTGAGTTGTAGTTATTTTATTTTAATTAATTTATTCCAAGTAATTTAGTTACTATCATTTTCAAAACCCCCCATATCTGGAACTTGAGAAGAAATTAAATTATTCCCAGTCCCTGTGGATTCGACCCTACTTACCGCTATATACAGAATTTGTATTTTATTTAAGCAGGCATTTATTATTGCACAGGTTTGACGCCTGTCAATTTTTGACGCCGTTGCCGGGGACTGGTGCCAGATTAATTTGTTTCTTTTTGAGTTCATCTTGTTTTTATTTTTTTTATTTTTTATTTATTTTTCTCTTATTTTTTATTTATTATATTTTATGGCTTCTAACACTCCGTATTTTGGTGATAGACTGGATTTTGTTTCCGAGGAAGGCGATGAGACTAGTTTTTTTGCTAAGTTTGCATATTCAGAGGCAGTAAACTCTATTAGAGAAAGAATGGCTGCTGCAACCTGTAAAATTTGTTATGCCAGGGATCATTCGACCGGTATGTGCCCCGAATATCAAGATAATCTGAGTGTCCCACTCAATAATTATGGAGATTTTTCACCATGGTCTCAAACGTGGTATAACCCTAATCCAAACGGGTATGATCAAGGATGGTGGGATAACTCCAGTTATAATTATACAACAGGGCCACTAGATTTTCAACAGCTAGAGTCTCAAGAACCGTCATCCATGTCAGGTATGTCTCTTGAAGAAATGGTTGAATTAATAGCTACTAACACATATCAAATTCAACAGGAGGTACATCAACTTCAACAGGAGACACAAAAGATGAGTGAAGAGATGAAAGAAGCAAGGCTTGAATGGACATTTAAAACGAGCAATTTGATTTCTCCAGTTTACGAAGAATTGTCCTCACCGACTATTATCGACCATGAGGAAGATGAGAGTGCAATTATTCTGACAAATGACATGGTACTGCAAGAGTCTCGAGAAAAAAAATCTAAAGATGTAGTTGAAAAGAAAGTTGAAGAGCACGAATTGAGACCCCAACATCAAATGGTTCAAGTGAATGAATCCAGTGAACTATCTCCAAATGCGGTGACATCTCCTCCATTCCTTGATCAATATTTTCCTGACTCTTATTCTTTAATTCCTGTTAGTGAGATTGATTTTATTATACCAGACGATTTTGAATTTCATGCCAGGAATAAATTAAGAGTCATGATGGCAAAATATCTCAAACCAGCAAGTGCTTGTGATGGAGGAGTGAATGAAGATTTAAGGTCATTACTTGGTTGTTTGGTGCCATTTACTAGTCCATGGAAGACCGTAACTCGTGTGCTCAAAGATTACTCCATCTATGAAGGTTACCAGGATCACATTGAAGATGAAGCATTGAAACGAGCCACAAGATTTTATCCTCCATGAGCAAAACATGATAATGTCTAGCCAAAGACATTAAAGAAAGGCGCTACTTGGGAGGCAACCCAAGACTATTTCTTTCAATTTTCATTCATTTTTGAAGTTCTAGTTAAGTGTTAGTGTCAATTAATAGTTTGATGTTTGGTGACAGGGAATTAGCAGTTAGACGTGCCCACGCCAGGTGGTCACGCCTGAGGGAAAAGAAATTTTCGTTCAGGATCTGCGGACTCTATAGCAGTTAGACGTGCCCACGCCAGGTGGTCACGCCTGAGGGAAAGAAATTTTCGTTCAGGATCTGCGGACTCTATAGCAGTTAGACGTGCCCACGCCTAAGCCAGAGGTTCCTTGAAAAAAAAAAAAATCAAAAATTCAAAATAAAAACATTTTCCGTTTTACACCTTCAGTTTTGGTTCTCACAATTCGAGTTTTGAAATTTGAGTGTGCAATAAAAAAATAAAAAAAAAAACTATTTTTGCCCTTTTTTCTTTCTTCTTTCTTTCTTTCTTCTTCTTCTTTTTTCTTTCTTCCTTCTCCCCTGCTCTCTCTCTGTTGTCCGAAAGCCACTCGCGCCGCCCACCTCACTCACGCCGCCACCTCGCGTCTCGCGCAAAGGACCAGCCAGCCATCCACTTCGCACCTCGCCGACCCTCGATGCTTCCACTCCAGGCCGCTCGCCGCTGCTGAAGCTCCATCGCCGCCGCCGCTGCCCATCTTCCTTCCACACGCAGCTCCTTCCTCGCGCAGCCACAAGCCCACAGGCGCGCGGCAGCAGCCTCTGTCCCGCCGCCCACTTGCCCGCGTGACCGTCACTGCCTTCCACCACCAGCTCGATCTCACCGCAGCAGCGCCGCCCATCTCCCTCGCGCCGCCATCACAGCTCACCCGCCTCTCCACCGCCGCCGCTGCTGAAGTTCCCTCCGCTGTCTGCGCGCGCCACTCTAGCTCGCTGGTCCCTCTCTGCTCGCATAGCCAACTCCGCCGCAGCTCCATCGCGAGCCAACGCCGCCACCGAAGCACTTGGACGCTGCCAACAGCCCCAGCCAACCTCGCACGCTACTCTCTTCGGTGGAGGTATTTGGAATTTATTTCCCAATTTCTTAATATTCATTGGTGCTGTCTGGTTTCTCAATAATTGGTATTGTTGGCCGTTGGGGGTTATTTCTTCAATCGTGTGGTAAACCAGTGGTATTGGTTGTGATATTTGACCCGGATCTTGTTCATTCCTAGTTTGCCATACTCGTGAGAATATTTGTTGAACTTTTGGGTACATTTGTCGAGTTTTTGGGTGGGCTGGATTTGTGAAATTGTCTTTTGCTAATTGGGAGGCAGCTTTGCTTGTGTTTTGATTGTTGCGATTCTCAATTGTGAGCAGTGTTAATTGTTATTTTGGTTTGTCGGTGGCCTGATATTGGTGGTGTGTGATTTCTCTTCCATAGTTTACTACACCAGTGGTACTGGTGGGGTGATTGGACCTCAATTGGGTACTTCTATTTGGTTGGCTAAATGATTATTGTCCAAGCCCTGAGCTGTTATCTTTGAAATTGCTGATTTTGGGTTGCGACTTCTACTGGCCAACTGGAGCCATTTGTTGAGTATTTGGGTGAGCTGAAATATTGTTTGTTAAATTGGGAGGCTTCTATACCCTCTACATTGCTTATTCCAGTTCAGTGCATCTAGTTGAAATGCTGGGGGTTTGAGATTCAGTTGTTAATGTCATAGTTTTCCACTACTATTGCTTGACTTGTTCACTTCTTGAGGCTCACTGCTGGGGACATTTGTTCGAACTTTTGGGGGGAATTGTTGAAGTTCTTGGGTGGGCTGGAATTTTAACAATTGTCTGTGATATTTTGGGAAGAATCTCGGCCAGTGTTGTGCTTGTTGAAATTTTGGTTGATTTAATTCGGCAACTGCATTCCTTGTTGGCATTAGTAGTTTTTAATCGAGTTTTTGAGGACATTCTGGATGTTGGTTTATATTGCTGATTTGGAGGAGCAGTGTCTGTGATTTTGGTCTGATCATTTGTGCAATTTGTTGACTCATTTGAGGACTTATTTGTTTCCTGGGTTTGTTTATTGACTTCGGTGGACTGGGTTCCCACCTACGGTTCCTCTACTTGCTCTATTCATTGGAATTCCAGTCGCCTGTTGCTCTTCTTTAGAGGTTTAGAATCTTTCTTGTGACTAGATTAACACTTGGGGTTATTGCTTTACTACTGATCTGCTTTGCTATAGCAATCTCATTGATTTTGAATTGCGATTTGCACCAATGGTAAGGGTGCGAGTACTTGTTAACTCTATTTGGTTAGAGATCTGATTGACCGCCAAGGGCTTGCGACTGCGCTGCTATTACTAAAGTTCTGAACTGATATTGCTGGATTTAGCACATTATTGGAGACGTTGTTGAGATTTTGGGTGGACAGAGCTTTGCATTTGCTGGTTGACTTGATGTCTCACCACATCGGTGCCCCTCCGCTGTTCCCGCCGACCCCTTAGCCACTCGAGAGGGAAGTTTCGTTGTCCTTTTCACTTTAATTGCTTTATTTCCTCCATTGAGGACAATGTAGGATCTAGGTGTGGGGGGGGCAGCTGCGCTAGTTTTTCTGTTTTTTAGTTTTTTTAGATGTTTTTGCTTTCTTTTTAATTTGCTATTTGTCCACCTCTCGTTCAATTTCTTTCTTTCTTTCTAGTGACTGGCTCGTAAGTGCATGCCAAGGTTTGATGTTGGATTATTGCCTCTATTTCTACTTTTGCCAAGTTTTTATAATAAAAATGTATCGAGTTAATGTGGCTGAATCCAAAAACATCTCTTTGGTGAATATCGATGATTGTTTCACTCTTATAATTTTTGGTTAACTTTCCTAGGCATAGGGAATGATTATTGGCATTTTTATGTGAATTGGTTCGGTTATTAACTTTAGTTCTCCATGTTTGAAAATGAGTCTAGCTGATGCAAGTTTTCTTTTGGTTCTTGTGTTATATTGAGTTTTTGTGATTTTTAGCTATGAATAAACTTGACTGTACTCCGCTAGTCTTTACTACTGAGTAACCGGGGATCTGCACCTAAAAGTGTTGATTCTCGCATCAAAAGGTAGTAATTCCTATGAGTACGTGGTCACGTGGCGATAGAAGCTGAGTAACCGGGATCCTTCATCTGGCCAATGTTGGAGTTCGCGTCAAAAGGCTCTAATGGCTAGCGACTAAGTCTTTTGTTACTATTGAGAAAAGAAAAAAAAAAGAGAAAGAGAAGAAAAAAATGTATTAGGGAAAGAAAAAAGTGAAAGTTAAAAAAAAAAATGTGAAAAAAAAGTGAATGTTGTGTTAGTGTATAATAAAAGTCAGCTTGCCGATTTATGGATTTAATGTTGAGATTTTGGTTAATAGTTGGACCATTTACTGATAAATATTATGTGTCATTCCTTTTTCTTAGATTAGTTAACCTGGAATTAGAGGAGTTTGTGGTTTAGAAGCTAACCGGAGTGATGTTTCTTGGACTTGACCATTGATGCTTGATTATTATTTTCCTTGGTATCTTGGCAATAGGGTAGATGGAGCAATAACCATTTTCAAATTTTGGTGTTATTTGTCGTCCCATGCTTGAGGGCAAGCATGATTTAGGTGTGGGGGGAATTGATAGGGTGTTAATTGTTAGTAATTTTATTGTTAATTTTCCCTTGTCCCTACCAAATATTGTTTTAAATTGTTAATATATACTTATATTTGGTATTTGGACCTATCTACAGGAAGTTGAACTGACAAATGCTAATAAGGAGATTTTACTGAGAAAAATTCTCCACACATTAGAGCCTCCAGCGGATTTACAAGTTGGGCCCACATGGTTCTGCAAGAGAACAAAAAATTTCGGTTGCTGATGGGAGTCTTTGATGAGCAATAGAAAACAAAAGGAGAGAATTCGGCAGAGCTACTTTTGTAACTTGGGACTCTTGTTTTCGGTGGGGACCACGAGAGGAGAAAAGGCTTTTCTTCATTTGGCCTTTAAGAGAAGTAACGTACAGAGATGGGAAACAAGAAGCAATTCGGCAGGACCCACCTTGTGGACTTGGTTTCTCTCAATTCGGCAGAGTTCCCTTCTGGGACTTTGACTCTAAATTTCGGCGGGGACCACGGAGAGAAAGCATTAGGGATTAGTCATTTTGGCTTTAAAAAGGAAGAAACGTACAGGCGGCTAGGTATAATAGTTTTAGCTTAGTTTTTAGGATAGTTTTAGTTTTTTCGTTTCTTTCTTGGCTCTTTTGATGGCCTGGACCTCAGTGGAATTACTTGAAGATTTTCTCATGAGGTGTGGCTAAGTTTGTCTAGTCAAGAACAACGGAGGATTTGGTTCTACTAAATTTGTGAGATCGAATTAGTTTTTATTTATTCCCATTATTCACTGGTATTTGTCTGTCTTCTGCTTTATGTTCATATGGTTGTTTTATTATTCGATTATCCAGGGCCCGGATTCTAGATTAATTCAATAACCTGAAGCCAATTAGGGTAGTTAAATCCGTAATTGTTTAATTATTCTAAACTGGTGGCAACTGGCATGATTGGGTTTGTGTCAGGGAGATAGGCAGGCTAACTTAAAGAGACCCTCATAGCGTGTTGATTGGTTAGAATTAGGCTCTTCTAATTATTCATGCAATTAGGGAATTGAACTTCTATGGTCGTACCTAGGGTTATTTCCTGATTAGAGAAATAGTCAACGGTCGTACCTTGGCTATCGACAAGTTGAGGAAGAGTTGGTTGTTTATCGCGTGTATGACAACTATAACTAATTTATCAGATAGTAACTGGAATAATCCTTGCATCTGTGATCAAATTAAGTGAACCATCTCCGAAGTTGTCTCTTGGCTAGAGTTCGTCCATTATTATTTTTATTGTGATAATTAGTTATTTGAGTTGTAGTTATTTTATTTTAATTAATTTATTCCAAGTAATTTAGTTACTATCATTTTCAAAACCCCCCATATCTGGAACTTGAGAAGAAATTAAATTATTCCCAGTCCCTGTGGATTCGACCCTGCTTACCGCTATATACAGAATTTGTATTTTATTTAAGCAGGTATTTATTATTGCACAGGTTTGACGCCTGTCAGCAGTCAAGCAGCTGAGCATTGGGGACCCACCGGACGGCAAACCGTCCGGTTTTCTAGTGTTCAGACATTGGAGGCAGGCTATAATTTTTTTGGAAGCTACTACATTACTAGTACTGAAAGAGGTTACTGGATCTATTGAGCATAATCTGACTGAGAAAGCCCAAAATACATTGATATTTTATATTTTGGTCACCATGGCTTCGAGCTTTGATAGCTTTCATTTGGCCTTGCAAGAGTTACAGACTGATCTGGACGAGTTTGTTGAGGAAGAAGAGGAAGAAAGAGCTTCGGAGCTTCCAAGATTATCCAGCAACATTGATGTTCTGAGCAGGGATTGGAGGTTTCTGAGGATGCTTTGGGAATCCATTCTGGGCCAAAGAGATTCTGGAGATAAGCAGCTTGTGCAGCTGCGGCTGCAGCATCAAGAGGATTTGGAACAGGAAGGAGGAGAATCAGAATCCAAGTCTCATGCTCTTGCCCTCAGGATTGAAGCAGCAGTCGAGGAGATTCTGCGGGACCTTGTTCGCCTGTCTGAGATCAAGAAACGCGAGAAGGGCAACAAGAATTCAGAGTCTGAATTGCTACAGTTAGTAGTTGACTGCCAAATAAAAACCGATCAATTCATAACAGAAATTAGAGAAGCTGTTGACCAACATATATCAGGATGCTCGTTCCAGGTACACCCTCCTCCTCCTGTTGATGTTTATTTTTGGACAAGTTTTGTGGATTCTGTAATGTTAAATCTGTGGTCTGTCCATTCCACTCTGCATCTCTTTGATGATGATGAAGTTGGCCAAGTTAGTCTAGTTATTGATGAGAAACAAGTCTTTGCCTCATTCAAGGAGCTGGAATTGATCCGGGATTATGTGCTTGAAACTATACGGGGTCATCGTGATGTAACTTTAATTATTAGTAATGCTTTTCCAACTCGGATTGCATCTCTCCTTGTACACGTTGCGAATCAGGCTTGTAGTTGCTGGTTCAGTTGCAAAACAGATCGAATCCAGTCTGCGAAAATCAAGCTGACTGAACTAGTGAAGGGTTTGCAGAATGAGATTGATCCTACTAATCCCAAGTTCATGGAGCTTCATCTCAATTTCCTGAGAGATCTCTATAGCATCCATGGAGGTACATTTCGCGTGGATTCGTTCTGTGATTATCTTCACACGTGGAGAGCAAACATTTTTCTTGAACAGGAGCTGAGTTCCCTGTTAGTTGATTTTTTCAACACTAAACTAGAGGAGGAGGAGGAGGAGGAACCCGGGACAAATGTGAAAGGTTTCTTTGCAGAAATTATTGCTGTCCTCGTGGAGGCTTTCTCTCTCTGGGAGTTGCTGCGGAAGCAAGATGAAACGGAACCTCCTCCTTGTTCTCAGTTACTAATCAAAATTTGTCTTCTCAAGGCAGAGCTTTTCCTCAAGGGAATTCTCCTTAACAGCAACAGCAACAGCACTTTCTCCTATATGCTTTTCGATAACAGCTATATTCAAAAACTCAAAGACATCCTGGAAAACCTGAGAATGTATTCCAACGATATTCCCACTGAGAAGATAGAATATGGGAAGAAGAGCTTAGAACTCATTGAGGAACTGGCCAAGGAGGTAGCATTTCTTTGTCAGTCATTTGAGGGTAAGAAGATTACAGAATCTACAGTAAAGAACTCACTCTTCGAATTGCTTCTTAAGATTGTGCTTTCCAAGGCGGAGTCAGTTTTGATGGAACTTTTATCATCGAAGAGTGGTAACACAAGTTTCCTGGCTCATGGAAAAGAACAGATTGGACTCCTCCTTGAGCAGCTGAACTTTATTACGCTAGTTCTCCCGAATCAGCAAATGAAGGACAGAGACGACGTGGAGATGATCTTCGTGCAAGCTGAAGCATTTGCTAGGGGGGTGACACATTTCTGTCGCTCATTTGCTTCCAAAAAAATCACAAATGACATGATCAACCAAATGATCCTTTCATCTTCTCAGCTGCTACAAAAGGTCAAGCATATCAAGCCAAAGCTCAAGGAGATTGCTAATCAAATTCCATTGTCTAATTTCCCTGAGACTTACAGATGGGGGTTCATAGACTTTCTTGTCAGAAACATACAGGACCTGCTGAAACACGATCCTGATTCAATTGCACCTGTGAAGACTCATATTGAAGAGATTCAGCTACATTTAGAGTCATTGAGTTCTTTCCTCTTGAAAATTTCAGAGTTGGATATTCAGCAATCAAAGGTAAAAGATCTTGGTAATCACATTGCTGAACTAGCATATAAGCTGGAATATGTCATTGATTCCATTGAGATTGATGCTCATTGGCAACATTTCTTTTGGTTTTATGACCTACTGGAGGAGTTAAGACTTGTTGCCAAGCAGGCCTCCCTAATTCATGTGTTCACCGAGGGAGCCAAAGTCCAAAATTCCACTGACATTTCACAAAACATGGTTTCGCGAGGCACAAGACCAGAAATTGATGAAATATTGGTGGATCTCCGTGATGAAGAAGAAGTTATAGTTAATCGACTTATCAGAGGTTCCACAAAGCGAGATGTTGTATCTATTGTTGGCATGCCAGGTATGGGCAAGACAACATTAGCTAGAAAAGTCTACAACAATCCAAATGTCACGCATTACTTTCACTGTCGTGCTTGGTGCACTGTCTCACAGGTATATGACAAAAGGGAGATATTGCTAGAGATTTTAAGGGACGTTCACGGGCTTTCTGCTGAAAATCATCACATGAGCGAGGAAGATCTTGAATCAAAATTGCGTCAGTGCTTGTTGAGGAACAAGTATCTCATAGTCATGGATGATGTGTGGGATATTGGAGCTTGGAGTGACTTGACACATTCATTGCCAGATGACTGCAATAAAAGTAGAATTTTGGTCACAAGTCGTCGTCGTGATTTGGCCTTGGAAATTGAACCCAATTCTGATCCTCATTCTATTCGCCCATTTACTGTGGCTGAAAGTTGGATATTATTAGAACAAAAGGTATTCCAAGGTGATGGTTGTCCTGAGGAATTGTTGCTAGTGGGAAAGGAAATTGCTCAAAAGTGTAAAGGACTACCTCTTTCCGTTGTTGCAATATCTGGTCTCCTCAGAAGGACAGAAAAGAGAAAAGACTGGTGGAAAAAAATTGCAGAAAGCTTGAGCTCAGAAATATTCAAAGATCCAGAAGCTCGATGTATGGAAATCTTGGAACTGAGCTACCGGCACTTACCAGGAAATCTAAAAGCATGCTTTCTTTATTTGGGAGTTTTTCTTGAAGATAAAGATATTCCTGTCCACAAGTTGATACAGTTTTGGCTGGCAGAAGGATTCATACAAGTAACTGAATCGAAAAGCTTGGAAGACATTGCGGAGAATTACTTGATGGATCTTATAAACCGAAGCCTAGTTATAATCTCCAAAAGAAGATATAATGGAAAGGTCAAAGCATGTCGCCTCCATGATCTAATACGTGATTTCTGTCAGTCAAAAGCCAAAGAAGAGAAATTTTTGCAGCTAGTAACCAGGTCCGATGAACCATATGCTTCTTTTCCCATTTCAGATTATGGTTTTGAATTCTATTATGACCATAACATCGATCCAGTAATGTATGATGCCTATCGGTTGAGCATTTTCCTGCAGCGAAATCACTTTGTTGAATCAAGACCTTTTGGCCTTGGCACCCGTTCTTTGGTATTCTTTGCCTTTACTGATTCAGAGCCAAGATGTCCTTATGACATCTCATTCATTTGCCACAACTTCAAATTTCTCAGGGTGTTGGATTTTGAATGCATCAACATGGGTATCTCCTTTCCTGATGAAATAGGACTACTGGTTCGACTGCGATATTTGGCTGTTTGTGGGTATTTGCGCTCTGTTCCAGAATCAATAGCCAACCTCAGGAACCTGGAAACTTTGATTGTAAAGGGATTACATGGTAAGATTGTATTACCATATACTATTTGGCACTTGGCAAGTTTAAGGCATCTTCATGTGAATGATCATGTTGCTTTCAACTTGGATGGAAAAGACCCTGAAGGATGTTTTCAGTTGGAAAATTTGGTGAGTTTCTCCCGCCCTTCTCTTTCTTGTGGTGGAGACATGCAAAGGATAATACGGAGGTTTCCAAATCTTTGCAAATTGAGATGCATATTCTACGAGTCACGTGATTCTTCTCACAATTGCAATCAGTTTCCCAGGTTGGATGTTCTAACTCATTTGGAGTCTTTGAATATATTTTACTATGGAAGGACTCTTAGCAGCAGTGGCTTCATTCTCCCAATGAACCTGAAGAAATTGACTATTTCTGAATTTCACCTACCTTGGAGTAATATTTCTGCAATTGGAAGACTGAAAAACCTCCAAGTTCTTAAACTAAATTCTGGTGCCTTTGAGGGGCAAACATGGGAGATGAAGGAAGGAGAGTTCCAGGAACTCAAGTTCTTGAAGTTAGACAGTCTGAACATTGTACATTGGAAGGCCGCTTCTGATCCCCTTCCCAAACTTCAACGATTAGTTCTACAGAATTGCAAAGACCTTCAGGAAGTTCCCGATGATTTTGCAGAGATACCTGAACTTGAAACGATTGAAGTCCTGTGGTGCGGACAATCTGCAGAAGAGTCGGCAAAAGAAATTGAGGAAGCAAATGAGGATATCAAAGTCCTTATTAGTCGTTTGTAACTGTAATAATCATTACCATGTTTCTGGACAGATGTTGTATTTTACAGAACGGCTTCTAAGTTGTAAATGAAGATAGTGAATCTTTACCAACTTATTCATTTGCTCAATGCATTTTCGAGATGATATTCGTTATGGATCCGTACGACTGGCTGAAAAATATTTAGCACTTCAAAGCACAAGATTTGTAAGTTGCCAGGATGGTCATTTGTTCGTATGAAGCTGTTGGTTCTTGATCAAAATAAATCGTATAATTAACAATAATTCCTCTAGCAAAATTTAACAAAAATTTCATACCTCAATATTGCATTAAAAAATGCAAATAATTTGTACCATAAAAAGTTAATTTGACACGGGTTAGAGTGCGAATTAGATTGCTTTTTTTAAAACGATTCGTGCCTCCACAGAGTATTGTCCGGTGTAATAGGTCTCAGCACGTCGCCTCTACGATACAATAACCTAACCTATGTCACTGTAGTCTACTCCAATCTACACTGTTGGAATAAGATATAAACTTCACACAACATTAATTCTTTGCCCTATAAAATCCAATTATAGTGAGAGGAAGAAAAGTAGAAGATAGTTTAGAGATGACCAAGTATATATCAGGTTTGGTTGATAGATGCCTCTATTTATAGGCTAAGAAAGTAGGAGTATTAAAATACCAACATTAAGAGGAATTAACACCTCATATTTCAGCTATAAATTGAAAAGTCTAGGTTCATTGTATAACGGCAAAAAATTCACTAAATGAATTCATAAACCTAATCATTACGTAGGTTACACAATTCAAGACATAAATCTCATTTTTAAGACATAAGTTATGGTTTTATTTGTAGCTGAAAATTCATTGAACAATATATATGTGCTATTTTTTTATTAAAATAGCCAACAAAAGCAATTAAGAGCTTTATATCAATATCAAGAAATGAGAAGTTTATTCCCGTCCAGTGTTATGTTCTGCAATTCCTTGTCCTGAGTTGCATGCATGATCTTTGCTTACATGATGTTTATTGTCCTTTGAGTTAGTAAGAACTCCATTATCAGGCTGCAGAACAAGTCATAGAATGGGTAGGTATTCTTTTGAAGATACGTCAACTGGAACATGCAGAGATGTTCCACATCTCTGAGAGAAAGAAACACGGATGGTTTAAAGTAGTGATCTAAAGGCTTAAACCTAGGTGGAGTTTATTGATTTGAGCTCCCTTTATCTGTCCTGATAACAGAGTTGAGACGTCTCGAGTCAACAACATTCTGGAGCTGAGCGTTTTATTATATCAACAAGATGATTGACATCTGAACCAAAACAGATTCAGAGTTGATTTCTTCTTTTCCAAAAGTTATCTCTTGAGCTCTGTTTACGGCAACCGCTTCCTTCTATTCTTTTGCTTGCGAGACGATGAATTTCTGTTGGGGATAATATAGGAGAAAATGGCTAAATGTTACAAAACAAATGATACAAAAAGACTTCAAATTGTGATTCGATATCACTTTCTTTTAGACTTTATTTCTCTAGAATTTTGTGTGCAAAGACTTTGGACAAATATCCTTTAGGATAATTTGAAGGGTGTTTGTCTTAACTCTTGCACAAAGTTGACGAACCTACTTGAACTATGGTGTGTTTTTGCAGAGAATTCTAGTAATAGGAAAATGATCTTCTGCAGCAAACCATTCCTATTAGACCTTTATAGAGTTGAAATTGAAAATGATCAACAGTTGCAACCTTTCACCACTAATTTCTGTATTTGCGTTGGTCAAAAGGTTCCTCAACATCAATGCAAGTGTCCAGACAGTTTTTGGATATTTAAATGCCATTTAGATGGTAATTAACTATCAAAAACATGAAGAAGTGCCAAGTAGACTTGAACAACTTCTGAACATTGCAGGAATCAAACAGTGATGGGTCTTATGTCAGGTCCTAAGACAGCCCCCGTCTTGCAACTGATCAAATTTTGAAAATATCCAACAATTTCTTCAATCTTGAATTATTAGTTAACAGCTTTCTAGAAGAAAATGCAGCTTCCTTTACCTGAAGCAAACATAGAGGAGTAAGATCAACTATAAAAGTAAGCTTGGTACTCTAGTACTTAGTTAGAAATAAGCTAATTAGTGTTTCTAGATTCAGAACAAGGTAAAGACCATGAGAAATATATGGATAAACATGAAAAGGTATACGTTGTGACTTTTGCATTTCAACAGTTTTACATGGCCTATGGATTTCTCAAATTTTCAAGGTTGAAACAAGTGCTTACTAACTTTCCATCAATAATTGGATTTCATAATTGAAACATGCAAAATCCAGATACTACTCGATAAATGAGGAAACAGACGACATGTCTAGCAGCAGAGTCGATGATTAATAATATCCATGCCTAAAGAACACTATCACCAGCATCGTCTAGTTCATAACTTATTTCACTTTTCACCAAAAGGAAAATTAAAGGAAACACAGCAGGAACAAACATGGGAAGTGTATGAAGTTTACATACTATATTCTTGTGACTATTTTCAGTGTGCTAGACTTCAAATTCTCCACCTTAGTCCCTGAAAATCTCGGCGTACCGTGCACGGGCTGTGCTGGACTTCAGGGGTCTATAGAGCTTGCAACGATAAAAATGAATGTCAACTTTGCCTCTAGCATGGCCTATGTGTTTTCTAAACCTTTGATTGTATAGGCGTCTTCTACAGATTGATAAGGGATTTAAAATCTCTCTTGCTATGAACAGAATATGAAGAAAGTGTGTGTCTTATATTGTGATCTACAATCTGGAAGCCTAGCTTTTCATCATAATGAGTTATGGGACAACATAATTTGAAAAATGTTGCATACTTTTCTTGGATCTTTTTTAGTCCCTTTGGATTTAGTTTGGGTGAAAAGAGAAGGAATTAGAGTTGCTCATGCACCGAGCAGGCAAGCTAGGAATGTTGATTATCAAAGTGTCATTGGTGCTCATTGCGCCTAACTGCGTCCAGCCTTCATTTTTGGGTCATTCTTACAAGCAGATCCTATTCTTTTCTCTCAAAAAAAAAAAAACAGAATTTAAAATAGGAAAATATTAGAAAATAAAATCTAAGTTTTTCTTTCAGATATATTATTTTGCTTGCATAATAAACACGTTTTCCGATCAACTTATTTATGTTTTCAACTACCTTTCCATTTTACACACACAAAAAGTGTTACAGTAATCATTTTGAATAATATTTCAAATAATATACCATAATTCAATTTAATGTTTTCTTCAAAAGAAGATTTTGAACTAAAAACAAGCAAATCTTACACAAAAGCATTCAGGACTCTCCTAATCCCTCATATTCACTTATCTTAAATTTCACTTTCTCATTAGATCAGTATAATACCTTGGCGGTTATTCCTATGTAGTGTCAATTTAATTTACTATCATTTTTCTTTTCCAACCTTTAGGTCCTTGAGAATTTGGTTTGAGCACAATTAAGATGTTAGAACATACTTGTGAGATGATAAGAAATATTTTTAACTTTCTCCATTCTAATAAAATGTCTTTTGCTTGCATTTATCATTTTTTTTTATACAAATTCAAGTACAAGGGGAATAAGGATGAATCTATCTAATTTATTGAAAGGCACGAAGGAGTAAAATAACCTTCGGCCAAACTAAAATCTCTAGATAGGAAACGCAGTCAAGTAGTCGAACCCCTTGACTAGCGTCCAGTGAGGAGCTTTAGTTCCTTTGGGTGGCCACTAGACCAAGACCCAGTAGTTGCATTTATCATGTAAAAACACAATGAAGAAATTAACTTGATATATTTCCTGAGTTGAGGCGACATAAGGTAGAAGAGATGTTTTGATATCTAATAAGGTAGAAGAGATGTTTTGATATCTAACACAGACGAATCAGACAAATCATATGACCCTCCAATCAACGGTTGTAGTGCAATTGCTCGTGCCTTTGATCTCACTGCAGTAACTATTTAGTGAAGGATGTTGCTAAATATCATTACTACTATGAAAGTATCGAGGTTAACAAATGTATGATATCTAAAGATACATTTGCCCAAGTATGCTAAATTCTAAAAGATATTTCACTTTTTTACTAAACCCTAGTTGCATTTACCATAATTTACGCTACCAAAACTTTTTCTGTAAACTCAACATGGTAGTATAACGTATGACACTTGAAACCAGACGCCTGCATGATGCAGAAAATGTCTTTCCGCCCCTGTAGGGCAATAAACACCAGGCAACACTCCTCACGCCCATCCAAGCCAGTTGCTGGATACATGCCCTTGAGCCAGGGATTTTACAAAAGCATCTATTCCATAAGTGATGGCACCAGTCCTGTGATTCAGATACGTCTGATCACCCGCATGTATACAAGTCTTTACAGTTTTCAACGCATCCATCTTCCCATCTTCAAAGTTATTATTTTTCTTTTCTTGTTGGCACGATGCTTAGCCGCAATCCTTAGCTTTCTCTTAGCATTTCGAACAGGATTAACCACAGCCATGAGCTTTTCTTCGTGTTTCCTCCTATCCCTCTTTGCTTTAAGATCTTTCTGTATTTGACTGTAAACTTGAACAAAGTTCTGCATTCCCATGTTATCTCGAATGCTTTCACAAACCTCTTGTGCTAACTGCTTCATATCATCTGCCAGAGATTATAGAATAATGATGTAAAGATACTGTGTTTAAGAACATCAGCGACCAAAAGTGATTACAGATAACCTTGCAAGGTGAGATCCATTTACTTCATTTTCCCGTTGAACCAAAAAAACACATGCTTGTGAGAGTATATTTGAAGCCATCAAGATGCAGGGTAATATTTCTTTTTCTTCCCGCATAACCTTTTTGGTTTGTATGGCTTCCCAGCACAGGCATGATTTGATGCTTAAAGACTATCACAGGTACTAGACAAACTTGTTTCATTGTTAACTTTTTGAATAGAAAGCAATATATTTCACAAAACAACGCCTTCCAATTAACCAGAACAAAATTTTTTCACACAGCAAATCTCCAATGCCTACTTTTGCACTCCCCATAGGTGAATTCAACGTTATTTGATAAACCACTGGAAGCAAGAAAGCATTGAAAATACATCAGTTTAGAGAGAGTAGGAAAAATCTTTTCCGACCATATTCCACATTGAATTTCAAGTAGATAGTGTGTAACAATTGTCATGATTCATTCAAATACGGACTTTTAAGTAATTTCCATCTTTTAATTGTCCTGGTGCAGGGAAGATGACTTTATTAATCAGACTAAAAAGGAAAAAAAAAAAAAGATATCGTCTAACATGAAACTAACACCTACAACCATCACTTTTCCCATATAAATTCGGACTCAAACAAATTAATTCTATTTAATGAATATCTTTGCTATTTTTAAGACACAGATCCTCTTTCAAGTTTCAGGAGTCAATACCATGACATCCAGCTGTATGAAACAGAAAACAAGCAACATAACAACTGTTTATATTGCTACTCAGCACTTTATTAGGAACCAATAAATTATGTCAACAACCATTATTTACAAGTCACGCAGTTTAATGAAAAGTTTGCTTCTCAAACACATCTAATCAACAAGAAATCCAGTACCTAAAAAAAAAACTACTACAACTACTACAGACATTTGAAGGTAATCAAAGACGTGCAACTGGATGGATCCTAAACACAAGGAAAAATCCGTAAAGATTGAATACAACGATAAATCTGTAAGGCATAGGGGACCATTATGCCAATTCTTGAGTTCATCAAAATTTAACACTGGTGGAAAATTTTCCAGATAAAGGAAACCCATCATAAATCATACAGGAGTAAAATAATGCAAGACAATAGTAAAGAAAAAGACAGGAAAAAACTTAGACTCATCAACCAGAAAAGATTGCAACCGCAAGAAAATCATTTCAATCAACTAGACAAAATTCACAATGAAGTACACAATACGCCTAAACAAGAAGAATATGATCAGACTAAGAACGTATATTTTGTTAGTCTTTTTATATCGAGGAACAATAATCTAGCTAGCAATTTGGCAACTGCACTTCCCATATTTTTCACATGGCAAGAATAACATTGATTTTTTCTGAATATAAGTATCAGAATAATGCAAACAAGCATCGGACTTGTAACCCTTGCAATTATAAGCAATAAAGAAACAGGGTAGAGATGGGGAGAAAGACAGACAGTGTAGAGTCATGGCATTTGGAGGGCAGGCAGGTGGGAAAAGATGGATAATGCACCTCTGTCAAGTAATGGTATCAGAAGAATTTACCTGAAACAACTCTACCGGCATATCCTTCACAGACTTTGTATAGAGGTACCAGCATCTGGTAAGAATAATTTTGCCCACTATCCTCCAGGACCAGTGTTGTATTCTTGTATTCTCCAAGAAGTGTTGGCGAGATCAACTTGAAACAATGGAATACAACTTTCATCTGCACAAAACATCACACGGAATTTAAA